CAAACTAATGAGGATTATGGAAAAAGGCTCTGGTGAGCATTCCTAGGGGTAGGTGGGATGGGGATTGGGCATTTTGCACCCAGGCGTAAAATAGGAACGAGCGGAGCGAAAGAATTCAAAGAAAACACAATCCACAGTTTATTAACAATTACAGATGTGAAAACCCCATTTTGCATTATATGCTCATTATACTAATTTTAATCGTCGTTATATCAATAATTACTCTCAAGTATAAGCCGTTTACAAATTGCGGTTCTAGCAAGTCGAGTGCTAAAAAGTTCTTCGCACCTTGGTAGACATTTCTGATCCTGTGCTAACTTCTAAACCGCATCAATCATTTGGATATTGATAAAATAATCAGTTGTTTTGTTTCTGTTAAGTATGTCTCTATAGGGTTAATTGGCGCTACCCTGGAAGTGTAGAGCCTGTGTGGTCAGGGAGTTGGTGACTGAAGAGGGGGTGACCTCTACCCCCTGTTAGATTTATTTTCACCTGCTAGGCCCACTTATAGCAGGCAGGTCATGCGGTAAGAAGAGCACCAGCCGACAAACACAATACCAAATTGATTAAACATTATTAACAGAAACACAAGCTTCTATAATTACAACACTTTCAGTTTTACGCTGAAAATTTCACAGAGATTAACTACGTCTTAACACCGGTGACCAAAATGGCAAATTCATGTAAATTCTGTGGTAGCGTGAAGAGAGTACATCTGTTGATGGTCCTAAGACAATTCCTCAACTCAAGTAGGCCGACGATAACACTCAGGTGAAAAAATACAATAACAATCGGCTCTCGTTAAGGATAGTTAAGACTTTAAGATGTGGTAGAAGAAAGTAATATGTCATTATTGTAGCAACCTCAGCGTATCAAGGAATCCGTGAAGGTTTCATGATACACGATATTTCAGTTCAAAAACATCATCATATATTTTGAAGTTGACTTTTGTGTTTGAAATCATTTGAAAAATGAACAAAGTCACTGTTGTGGTTCATTATCTTTCAGACGCGTCTACAATAATTCATTATAGTTTTCTATCTGAGGAGATTTGATCTCATGTTTAATATATTTTGGTTTAGGTTTCCCCAAGTACGGATTGGTACAGATATATAAACTGTCAGTCCACGGCGTATCAATTATGATCAATTCGTGTTCAGATGCATCGCCCCGTCGAACATAATCATATCACGGGCAGATATTCCCACCGAACAACAAAGCAATGGATTGGTATCCAGGGCATTTTAGCGTGTGCAATATGACCTAAACTTAACTAATGAACCAGGCCTTTTGGAATGATGCTCCATAGGTTAATAGACATTTAAACTACTTGGAATAAAGCATCAGTAATTGGAAACCATTCATCAAAGAGTACCAGCATCAAAAGCCAGACAATCACCATGTTAAATCGTTTGACCATTGAAAAAGCAATTGTCATATTTCAATGGCTATTTCATTCATGAAGATGCGACACGGGAGCTACATGACTACACTCCAGGTACGGCAGGTACCTTATGCTACACGAGCGCATGTCCCCTCGTAAACAACAACCCCTAAACGAGCCAGACAAAACAATAATCCATATAAGTCAAATCCGTTTTGAAAACTATAATTATCTGTACATGTACATTATCTATTAGTCTATCCCCTGTTGGTTTCTATCATAAATACTTATTTGAGTGTATCATATGAGCAAGAGTCGTAAAAATATTAAATCCAAAATAAAAGATATACCTGTGATTAGCATAATTAACCCGAGATCGACCTTAGAGGTGAAAGCTTATACCTCTAATGTCCCTCAGACCTTTATAGCACGATCAGATAAAGAGGGGCAGATAATGGTTTTATTTTATAGCACTGCTATAAACCAATCAGTGGTTACAGGTTAGCATATGATTATAAAGGGATTAAACTATGGATAGAATCATTACACCTTTTTGTGGAGGTTATACCTTTATTACGGTTCAATAAATAAATAAAGTTCTCTTTTTACTTTTTCATAACAAGTTGGGTACTTTATGGGGGGTTTAAAAATATGGTTCATGTAATAATTACTGAGATTTCGTGTTTGGTCATATTGTGTTTTTGTGGCTTTATTTTCAGATGTTACCATTGTAGTTTATAATTTTTTTAAGGAATGCCAAGAAAGTGATACCTAAAACGTAAAGTTTCCCATGACGACATGTAAATATCAGACCATGACAAATCTCATCAACTATGGGTACTTCACTGAAGATATTATTGGTTTCTCGATCTGCTGGACGGGCCTAATGATTTCTAAAGGAGGCTATGTCTTTATGGAATGATACGTGAATGTTTCGGTTGTTATCTCTGTGATACGATGCATTTGCTGGCAGACCATAACGTAAATATGTGATAAACCCTCACAGGCCCGTAGCCAGGATTTGCCAAGGGGGGGTTCATTTTTCAAAGATTTCCAGGGGGGGGTTCACATTTGACAATTTTGGCCCAAATATGGCTAAAATCACTTGAGAAGTGCTCAAAATGGTGAAAAACTGCATGATTTTGAAAGAATTTTTGGCCAGGGGGGGGTTCGCCCGAACCCTGCGAACCCCCCCTGGCTACGGGCCTGCCTCAGATAAAGAGACATCATCAATCCAAAGCAAATCGGACTCTGTAAATTGATTGAAATTTTCTGTTATTTCTATGAGACTAATCTCAAGAGTACTAAGGACTAATTTCAAGCATATCAATGTGTACATTCCTCAGTAATTAAACTTCATATGACCAGATAAAGGTCATGGGGGTGAAACAAACCTTTAAATGACGTAATCTGGTCACGTGATAGGTAGTTAATTTTAATCAATTTATTTTGATTTCTCCTGTAATTGCTTTTCAATTTCTAAACATATTGGCAATCTTTGCTTGAAGAATTATTATTGTAACCGCACAGAATGGAATTGTGATGTGCATTTGAGCCATTAATTTCAAAAGTTAATTATGTACATATCAAACCAAGCGGGAATGTTATCAATTTCACTCGTCAACTCTTTTGGGATAATCTTTAAAGGATTAACTCCCAGAATATGACTAATTTTTCCTTTATCGTTTTTGTTTAAATGAATTACGAATCATCAAATCAATACGATTGGCTCTGTGATAACAGAATATGGTAACATATCTGTTTATCTGAAATCATATCTATTAAACTCAGATGTCTCATAATTGGGAGTTCTTAATCAGTATTTTATGACCAATATAAGCCATTCTTTGCTTCGATGCATCATTTTATCCTTCATTTACCAAGTAAAACAAAGAAAAATCCAAAACGAAAATCTAAGTACAAGTCGGTTTACTCTGCGCTGTATACTCCCTTAAATTTTCTCCTAAGATTTCAATAATCAGCAGTTAATTAATTTTGTAACTAGAATTATATATAGCAGTAAATGACTATAATCACTCTTATTTATGACTTTGAAATGGACCTAGTTAATTTCAGATCTGTAATGTATAAGCATAGAGTCAGAGTGTGAGGGGCGGGACGGAAAGTTTTCACGCTATAATTTTTCTTCAATAATTTTCCATTAGATCCAATTAAACATTAGCCACTTGCCTGCATTTCTTCAGGTTCTTCTACAAGTAATGTCCAGGGGTATAATACTGAAGAATAACCAAACTGTCTCAAAATGATATATTTGGTAAGATAAATGTCATTTAGTTTCCTCACACCTTCAATTTTAGCTCGTGGGCATTTTACACAATAGGCCTTAACTATGAAAATATGCCCAAAATTATACCTTTTCCAAATGAGATATTTTTGAGAACCTATAAAGCATTTTAATTTTGCATCCCTATGTTTTGGTTGAAGTAATACATTGTAAGAAAGAAGGATGAGGTTATAAAACTGAGGGCATCTGGTATTTTTCATTCATTCATACTTGACTTCTATCTCCCTAGGCAACTGCCCAAATCACCTCATTATCGCCCATTGTTTAATTAGACTACTCCGTGAATCACACAAATAGATAGAAATATCTTATAGCCGCAAACTTTGTATCGCTTCCAAAATACTTCAAGAAGTTACTTCCCACTTCCTTCTACTATTACATAGGATAACGTAAGCTTATCGTAGTCATGAATGAACTGTCTAATTATCTGGGAAAAAATACCCCCAAAATAACCAAGAAAAATAACTTCAAAATCCTTTCGTGCTGTATTAGTTACAATCGCTAATTCTATTTTAATCTGATTAAAATGGTACATTGATGTGCTTTTATAGCTTTCCCAGTTGACATAAGCTATTGAAGTTACACTAAACAACATGGAACAGTGGTCTTTAAGATAAAATCACGAAACACATAACCCTGTATTTTCCAGCCTTCTGAGTGACTTTATCTGCTTGCTTGACAATGATACAATCAAGGGATTGAATATGGTTGATTTGAAAACTATCTGCGACTAAACTGGGGTGTTACAGCGGTACCAGGTGGAAAAAGAGGTTGAAATTAAATAATTATTATCATCATCTACATCATAGAAGTCGTGATGGACCAATGAACATAGCTTCAAACAAACCATACCGCTCACCTTAGACACACCCAGTTCCAAATCAAATGTTTTGTTACCAAAAGTTGGACTGATAAAAATATGATTGAAGTTGCTCGATGAATACAAGCTTCACCATGCTAGATAGAGATCTGGCATTCATCACAGTGCTCTAAGTGTGTTAAAACAATGGTACCAGGCTCTTCTCGCACCTTGATGTTGGCAATAGGTTAATATTTCACGCAGAAAATGTCAGTTGGGCGGTGGCACAATGTGAACGATGTACCTCGTTTTCCGATTTTTTTTAATTCAAAAGTTTGACTTATTCATGTTTTAGGATGGCTCTCCTTTTCCAACTCAAGTTAAGATCGTATTTCCATCAATGAAATAAACCAGAAAACATAAGGGGCAACACTAGGAAAGGCAACACAAAACAAATTATATCCATCCCCGATAGAACTATGAAACTTTAAGATTTGAAGATTCGAGCTCACCTGAACGCGGCTTTCAATGAGATCTAGACGGAGTGCGAGGGCCTCGCGCATGAATACATCTGGATAGTGACTGTCCTGGAAGGCTCTCTCTAACTCCTCCAGTTGCCAGCCACTGAAGTTAGTTCTAGTCCTACGTCTTTTTGCTGCTGCGCTCTCCTTATCATCACAGTCTGTGAAGGAAAACAAAAATAACAATATTTCAACAAAAAAGCATTTAAGAGATAAAATTTAGGTTATCATATAACTACAAATGTAACATTTAAAAATGCCTATTATACGAACCTGAAAAAGAGATGGTAAAACAATGTTGCTTTGTACAAGTACATTTGTTTGTTTAAATGATTGTTTTGGATACAAGTTGTTTACATTGAGTTTTGAAGAAAAGGCCTATATTTGTGCCCATTGTCATCATTTGTGTCAGTTTGTGTCAGCTTTTGATCAATATATTAAATTGTCAAGAATGTCAAATGTAAAATTATGAAAATTCAGTTGTAAAAATTAATTTTGAAGGCATTTACAAATAATCTATTTTAAAAGACCCTCGGAGAATCAATTATGTTTTTCAGTTTTATTTGATTTTGTCATGTACAAACTACATTTGTTAACCCAACTTGAGGCTTCTTCAAAACTTTTTCATTCAGACATACGCTGGATGTTTGCTCTTTTCAATTACAAATATACTAATTAAGAAACCTTTATAATAATGAAGCAGTTAAGGTGTTGAATTGCAATTTCTATTTCCGTAAAAACTAGTAAATGTTATTACTCTAGAAAAAATAATTATTTCGAACTGTTTGGACAACTTTCAAGGGGCTGATTCCTCTATTATCTTACACTGAAGAGGTTTTTATATTCAACATAGATATCATAACATAGCAAGATGATAGCCAATTTTCGCTTTTGTGAATTAATTAATCAAAAACCGATTACGACAATAGAAGAATAATTGCGATCTGAATGAACACCATGACACACTGCCTGTTATAGATGTCATAACAACAGTTAATTACGTTACTATGGTGACGCAATCCAAGTATATGTAAGATGTAATGAAGTCCCAAAGGTGACAAATTTTGCCCAAAGTCAAAAATACCTCGAACTCATCTTGATATCTAATTGAATCAGAATGTACCAAGGAGAAGTATGATCTATTGTACAGTTGTCATAATTTGACAATTATTACATAAACTGTTTTGGCAGACGATGAAAATTGCTGTAGGGGTACCGTATGGTTTGTCACAAAAATTACATTAAAATTAGTACGCGTCGTGGGAAATTGGTAAGGTGGTGCGCATGTGTATCGATAGACAATAAAAGCCAAATGAATCAAAATATTTTGACAAAAAGATATGTTATTAAAGGTAATTTATCCGTGCACTTGTTACTGACCGTTGTCATTGATTTGATTTCATACGTCCAAGATTTACTGGCGCAGAATGGGCAACTGTCAATGTCAGCCCTTAGTTGTGACAGTCTTTTGGAGAAGTTAGCCATTTTGCCAATGCCCAGCGAGTTATCACCCCAGGGTTACTTTACAGATAATCTCAAGTAGGAGGGACTGGCGGTGTCAAACTGGTCCGTCAATCTACTTTTTATATCAATAAAATTGTATCTGTATCAGTAACAGAAACTTGTGGTTCTGTATTTTAGGATTTTGGTATTTCTTATCATCCCATAAACGAAGTCAATTTGCCATGGAGAAGATGTAACTATAAAACACTAAGTAGTTTTCACTCTGGTGAAATCAGAATAAACTTGGAATTGACTCTTAAAAGGAGGGCCTTGTGGTAATCGTAACGACTCGAGAAACTTTGTTAGTGTTTGATCTTGTTTAGGTATCGCTGTAATAATTTTATAGTGATGATATTCGAAATGAGCGGTTAAGGCTTATCAGTTTTTCTAATTTTTGCAGAGATTAGGGACTGTGCACTACAGACCACCCGGACAAACGGTCGTACTGGGAAGATAATTTGGCATTATGGTTTCCTATAGCTCTTACATAGAGACTAAAAAGCGAATGAATTTTTCAAGTTATCTGCTCTTGTTTCAAGTGCATCCTTTATCTAATGGCAATTTCATTCATTCAGAAAAAACTTCAGATAGTTAAAAAGTGTACTGGTTGTTAATATGAATATGTTCTAGATTGAGTGATAATGCATACTAGTAATTATGATGCAAGAAGAAGACCCAACTAAAAATAACAACTTTAATCAATAAAATAAGCAACGCAAAAAGTAAGTTTTAGGTCTAGATTGAAAAAATTAAAATTTGGAAAAATGCTGAATGGTACATTTTCAAACCTACCTGATTTAACTGAGTTGGGGCTGGCTTCGCTAATATTATGAGGGGAGTGTGCGTGGTGTCTGGAGCCCTGGTGGACCGAACTGAGGATACCATCTACGGAAAACGGGAGATTACTGTGCCCCGTGCTCACCGACACTGCGTGCTGAAGATGTTGGTAATCCGCATAACTGTACGGTAATCCTAAAGAACCGTAAGGTCCTGTGAGATGCGAGAATGCATGAAGTCCCATTCCAGCTAAATGTGGAAAAGCTGTCTCCAAAACGCGTGAATCCATAGTCGCAGAGCGAGGTCTTTCGATAAGATGAGGAAGCATGATACTAAAATAAAACTATCAAGTCGCGCTATTTGTTTACCCGCACCGTCGCGCTTTATCGCAAAAGAGCAATCTCAACCAATCACAGCGCTTGGAAGATCATTAGGGGAGAAAGGAGGAGGTGCTCCCGTCAACGTTAATTCAGTGTGTAATACGATTTGGATCAATAACATTTGCAGAGGTAAATAATACACATAAATATACCGGTAGCTGGTATTTAACCGTATGATAAATGTGACTGTAATTCTAGGGGGAGGAGGTTCAGTTCTATACGCTAGCGGCACACACATATACATATTAATAGATTTAATAAATCTAACAGTAAAAACTCCCATGCTTTTTGCCCCCTGAACACTCTTTAAAATTTGTTTATGACATATTTAAGTTCTAATGCGACTGATTAAGGTTTAATTCACTATTTTATGGCGATGCTTTTCACTAGGGCGTGCATTATTGCCAAAGAATAGGCAAATGATTGAAACTGCATAAATACATTAAAATATTCTACCCTGGGGTAAGTGTACATTTTCAAGGGTGGCATTTTTGACTGATGACTTTTGGGGACATAAACGTTTTAAAAGTGAAATGAGTTGATATTTAAAAACATTAAAAATAATATAGTTAAACTAATTATAGTATTTTTAAGACATAAAACACCCAAACTAGGTTGCCTTGCACATTAGTGCATTCAAAGTGCCAAATGATATAGCCTTGCTCGGGACCCAGGGAACATTGATCATTCGCATTTGGGAAACGGTGTATGCTTGAGTTCTACGTCTTAACATTGACATGCACTATTTTAGGAGACAAATACGGAATAAATTCAAAAATTAATCCAACCAAAGTCATTAACATGGGACATTACACACCTCAAAACCAAATTAACAACAAATTTACAAGTACTAATATACAGTGATAATATTATTCTGATAGCCGTCCTTGCTGAAATCGGATTACATGTGGTTGACAAGGGGGCCTACAGCTTAATTTTCCCAAACAAACTTAGAAAATCCAGCAATCCCTAGTGGATTTATTCATCTTTCCTTATCTTCGGAAATTTGTGGAAACAAGGATTTTACATCATTTCAGCGTCTGCCACGTAGTTTGATAAATGAAGGGATAAATTGAATGCAAATTCCCACACCGATTCCTTCTTTCTAAGGCCTTAGTGAAAAAATACAATTAGAAGTGACAATTTGTGAAGCTCAAAATCAAATGAAAATGCTTAATTTGTCTTAATGAGCGTTTGATGTCACGCGGAAAACAATCCTGCCAATTTATATCATCTTGATTAACATTATCCCACGAGACTTAACATAATCACTAGCTCCATCTATAATCTTATCTATGCCATCAAGATCCATGTAGATCCAACGTCAGATAGAGTAAGAATCTGACGGTAACAAGGGAATAGAAATTAAACATTTAAATCTCCATAAAAAGTTATTTTTATAAAAATAAAATGCAGACCCTTTAAAATAATGCTATGAATAGATTGCACAAAGGGCACCGTTGGAATAACCCAATCCAGATGATTGCATCTTTTATAATGTCAATGACATTGAGATTCTTTTTCCATGAAACATCAATAGCTAAGCCATGGGATCTTCATATCAACAATTACAGCTGATTGGAATTGATTCAAAAAGTCTATCTATGCATAATCTTAATTTAGAGCAACTTTCTTGTAATGTAGTTACAGAATCGGAGACGAGTCATTCGAGAATGATTACCGGTGTATATATGTAAATAACATTAATGCTCTTTGCTTTGTCACCATTCTTTCCTAATTCAGTCATTCTATTAGTCTTATCTCATTTTTTGTCATTTCCACAAGATTTCCTTTTGATTTCCCAAAACATCAGTAACCATTATAGCACTTTCCATTGCAAATGAGAAGAGTGGAAAATTAGGATGGGAATTTAGAGTAATCAAAATGGGGATTGAATTTGTAGGACCCGGCTAATTGAAAGTCCGATTAACAAACAGATAGAGGCTAATGGAGGATTAGGAACGATCTACATATAGACAAACTCAAATCAAAAATCACTCTCACTATTGGTGATTCTGAAACAATTATTGAAGGCATCAGTTAAAAGGTTTGACTATCAATCCATACTGGAACTATGAATCATTAATTTACCAGCCACGGTATGCATAAAAAATGAAAACCGTCAAGGTCATAAAGAACTTGTCACAATGTAAAATCAAAAGCGCCTAATTTGGGCTGAGGAAGTTGAAAGGTCAACTACGTATGGACAAACTGGAAACACCATTGGATGCGTTTATGTTTTAAGGGGAGAATATTTTTATCTCGTATAATACAACACGAAATAAAGATGAAACAATTGGGAATTGAATAGAAAATAAAATATTCTTCGAAGTGACAGTAAAATGGATGGAAATATTCATGACTATTATAGCAAGAATAATTTCAGATTTTCTTTACAACATAGTTCTGGTGGTCTTCAAGTATTATTCTCATTCCTGACATATCACTGTCTGATTCTATTGTCAAACTTTGTCAGTCTATAATGGATACAATAGAATCATCTCCATTATAACAAATTGATGGGAATATTTTACATTTTAATAGTACAATCAAAGAACATGACGATTTGATACATATTTATACCATTGCAAGATCCAAGGGTATGCAAATACGATGCTAACTATAATACACAATCCAACAGGTCTTCATATAGGCATTACCATTGTGTTTTAGAATGCTTCATCATTACTTGCGGTCACTTCAAAGTGTTTAAGAATCCCATTGGAAGACATGAAATTGTCTATAGAGATGAGTATTCTCTTATATATAATACATAAATACTCTTTCCATATTGTCTCCGCAAGTATAAATTCTTTAAAGTTCACCGAAAATGTGATTTCTTAAATTAAGTCGATTATAGGAAATAAACATGATAAAAGACAATTGTTATCGTGGGGTAATATGAAATAAAAATTATTGTTATATTCAAGCTTTATAAAATACCCCCATAGAAGTTGCACTTACTAAAGCGCCTTGTGTATTGCATTATCACCAGTTTATATACTTATCGCCTTTAATGACAATTAAACCACTACCACATATACCACAGAAACAAAACATGGGAACATGCAGACAAGGGTTATCTACATGAAAATGATAAGGAAAACACGACAATGTCACAAAAAGACAACACATGAATTTAATCACACGAAAGTAAACCAAAACAATATATTGACCAACTAATTAATAATTTTGTTACAGGGTTCCTTCCATGTGTTCAAAAAATGATTGAAATACGCTGCCAACATTTTCAAAAAACACTAAATGCATATACGACCATAAATCTTCATTTCAAATTACCACCAAAAAGGAAATTGTCTAAGTCCTAGAATCCAAATAATGCCAGCCTCTTGAAACCGATAAGTCCGCGTTCATCTTTGTTTCAATGTTTTCATAACATTAAATATTTAATATATCGTCTAATATATATTTAATGAGGTTGACAAAGCAAATACTATTTGGAAACAAAGACAGAAGGGTTTCCAGTGGAAGACTGAGTCAACAAAATCGCATAAAAATTTTGAGACACCATTCTAAAAAAATTTTAAGACACCATTCTACAGTGTCCCCGCAGCAGATGTTGACGTGATATTTTATACATTGAATTCAAGAAATTGAACGAGTCAAAAGATGGTATAATTTTGATATACTTTGACTAAACGTCACTCCTTACAAGTAGATACAAAAACAATGCTATAATTAAATACTACCAACAACCACAAAAAGTGTAATACAAAGGAAAGATATTTTGAATGATTGAATGAATGACGGGAAATATTAAGAAAGTCAAAGTTAATCGGTAACAGAAAAAGGCTACATGAATAAAACTCATACTTCAAAAGTCAAGTTCTCAATTTATTTAATATCTGTCTTTCAATATAAAGAACATTTCAAAATTTAATACATCTATCCAAAAAGAATTTGAATAGTTTTTGAAAATGTTGTCTTGTACACATTAAAGCAACAAGTGACCAATGATGAAGGCAAAAATAAGTAGTGTATGTTAAGGAGTCACGGGATTACTTTGCGGTATCTAAAAATGCGATGCCAGGAATGAGATGTTGCGGTGTCTAAAAATGCGATGCCAGAAATGAGATGCTGAGACTACTTTGCGGTGCCTAAAGTGAGATACCAGGAATGAGATGCCAGGGGTTAATAACATTTTTACTAATGATGAGATGCTTGCTTTTGTAGTAACCATAGTGATAACCTGAGGTTTGTGGTAGCTTCAATTTGAGATGCATAACGTCCCAGTATATCATAAATATACTTGATTAAGAAAAAATATTCATAAATACTAGATCTCTTGAGGTTGAAACATGATTTCACAATTTTATATATACTTGAACAGCACTGATTCTATGGATACATATCCTTCTAACAATAATACCAAGTTCACAGTTAAATTACCCGAATATATTTCATTGAATCCTGATGAACAATGGCAGTGTGGATTGGTGGAATTGAGACATCCAACAGTATACGGGAGAATCGTAATGAATGTGATGTGCAATCTTTGTTACGGTACCATAGTTGGCGGTGAAAATATTCAGTTGTTAAGACAAGTACACGCTACCCAGGATGACATTTTCTACACTGGGAATTGTCAATCTTATAACCCTGTTCTTTATACACCCGTTATACCATCAGGATTCCAACACATATCTATCAGTATAAAAGAAGCAAAGGGTACCGAAGCTTTTTCATTTAACAACGATACGTTCTTTTGTGTGTTACACTTCAAAAAAGCGCATATTGTATAGACTTCAAGATGAGACTATCTAGTTACACACCAGATGATACTAAATGGGGGCACTTTTTCGCATCATCCGTGAACCGCAGTTTACCTATGAACTCTAAAAAATCTCAAAAGAACATTTCATTAAACGATAGCCGATATTCAATAAGAAACATCCAAGAAGGTGGGTCAACTATTAATTTAGTGAGCCCATCACAAGCTGTAGTGCAGAGAGCAAGTGCGGAATTGAAGAGAGGGAAAAGATCGAATACATTTAAAAGATCTCTGCAACCTCCAGGTAGACCAAATCGATTAATTGACAGCAAACGACG